AACAGCAAGGCTGGAGACTTCCATCAACAGCTAGCTACTGAAGATCAAAAGGCCAGAAAAATATTAACAACAAGGAACTCTGATAAGCAACGAACCAACCGAAAACCTATCGCTCAACAAATATGTTAGAGAAAATGGAGGTAGGAGGATTTCATCATGAGCTGACATCAGTTAGAGAACTATTGGAAAACCACCTGGGAGTACTGGACAGCCAACTGTTTCGTCAAGCCTAGTCTGGGACTCTTCACAGTACGCACCCACTGACCACGGTTCGAACCCAGGACCTTCTGGTTACAAGGCTAGCGAGCTCGTAGACCGCTAAGCCATAATGGTCAGCTCATGATGAAATCCTCCAACCAATCAAACAAAAAAATCCCTACAAAACCAATACTTGGAAAAAAAAAAAGTGGAGGTAGATTGAGTATACGCCGAAAAGACCGGTGAGTGACACATCGCGCCTTCAAGTGGAACCCGAATGGGAAACAACTCAATTATTCGTATATTTTTTTCCTGTCAATTGTTGAATGTACTATCCTCAAAAAATCAACGTGAATAGTAATCGCTAACATTCAGTGAGTGTGAAAAAAGGGCATTACTTTTCAACAGGAAATATCTCAACCTATAATCAGACATAATATGAACAATGCCTAAAGACAGTTTCCAAAACCTCATTAGATTTGAAAAAAAAAACAAGCGATTGCATACTTCATTCAATAGAAACAGGACGGACATAAGGTCGATTCTGAAGATAGGACCAATGTTCTACAAAAAGGTTTTAGTTCTTATATATAAAGAAAGATAAACATACCTCAGATGCCCTACATTCTTATATGGGTGAACCCCAAAATGCTTGAATAGACGCAACGGTGTGATTTAAGCTGATGTATGACAAGCTTTGATTAATAAATAAAAAGTGGTTGTGTATCACTAATTTTTCTAGCCTAATTAACTCTCCTAATTATCTATATCTTCTAAAGTAACATATAATTATGACAAGTTTGATTACTAACTGACTTCAAACAGACAACCAGTGAAAATCAAGGATACTGGACAGCTGTTTCGTCCTTGTCTGGGACTCTTCAATGGTAGGCAGCCATCATCTCACTGCCATTAGGGATCTAACCCAGGACCTTCAAGTGTCTTTGGAAGGCAATACATCATCGATTTTAACTTCTGACAATCCGCAACCGCTAGCCAAATGTCATCAGTGAGTATTTGTTTCATAGCAACTGGACGTGGACACCGCTGATTACGACTTCCCACTATAAGTTGTTTAGTCCACTTCATCCTAGTGAGCATTAGGATAATTACCTAGTGTGTTGGTTTGCAGCGAGTCCAGAAAAACAATACTATCCCGTACTCCTTGATTTTCTATGGTTCTCAAGGCAAAGTACAACAATAGCGTCCCAACGGATGCGAACGCACGGGTGACCTTCAGCCGACCAATCATAAAATTGAGGAATTTTTGCACAAAAATGACGTATATTTACAAAAAAATTCGCATGAAAACACATTACACAGGTTATCTTTCTCTGACATGACTTAAAAATACGTCCTAGTTATAATGAGGAGTATCAGTTGCTAAGTTAGACTAGTTTCTGTACATGTATTCACCAAGGTGACTGAAGATGAGCTGTTTTTGTGAATCGTTCATCTCTCTTCTCCTGTTGTGCAGTCCTCCTTAAAGCCCTCAGTTGAATTACTATGGTTTCCAGTAAGAGGATAGACGACTACTTAGTGGGAAAATGTGGATATTCAAACAAATTAAAATAAATGACATCAACTCTAAATCTATCCCTAATCGTAACAATAACCTTAATCCTAACCCTAATCATAACCCTTATCCAAACCGTAATTCTAACCCTAATGCTAATTATAACCCTAACGAGCTATTAACACATTGTCCAAACAGTACTTAAAAACGTGATCTGGGTGAAATTTGCTGCTTAGCTGGTGAATAGCGTTGATATTTCAGCTATGATAATGACAGGTGCCGTTAGCCAACGACTAGTATGCGTTCAAGGTCATTGGAGCGTTCGCACTCCTGGGACGCTATTGTTGAACTTCGCCGTTCTCAATATATCGGGAATCGGGAGAAGTTAGAATGAATGGGTCATTGAATTCCATTCCAGTGGCTTGTCTTTTAATCTGAAGGTCCTGGGTTCGATCTCTTATATATATCATTGGGTCATGGGTGCATAACTGATGAAGAGTCCCCGACAAGGACGAAACAGCTGACCAGTACTCCTAGGTTTATAATGCTTCTCTCTCTCTGGAGTCAATTGATAATCAATCTTGAAATCAATCAAATCCCTGCAAATCAACATTTAACGATATAACATTATCCATCTAAAGCCAACCTATCAATCAATATAATGGTGAAGGTCATCTAACTGACAAATTGGATCAATAGTGGTGCGTTCCTTTTACAGAAAAAAAAGATAAATAAAGTAATCTGTTTATTGATTATTAACCTAGTCGTCTAGTCTTGAACGTGTAAATAGTTTTAAAGATATCTTATCTATGCCAAGGAGGTAGTAGGTATAGACGTTAGATAAAAGTACATTAAGAAAATTCTTTATTTTTTTCTCTAGTAGATAAATTGAAAGAAATTCAGGTAGAAGTTTTGTTTTATTCTGTTTATTTAGAATCTATAAAAGAAGGCTGTGAAACAGTATTGAAGAATAACATGAATACTTTCAAGGTTAAGAAGAAAAAAAACAGTTAACCGATTTGACAAATATCAAATTCTCAAGCGAGATAATGATAATAGTGGCTAACTGTGGAATACAAAAGATGAGACTATCGTCCCACCTAGGACTCGTCAACCTGTAAAGTCGTCAGTAATAATCTTCCAACTGATACTTAACACTGGCCACCCATGGTTTCAAAGGCCAAAGCCAATGTCTCCTAGACTAATGAGCCACCTAATTATGTCATGTTCACACCTGAAGGTGTTGACAAAGCATCCACACTAGGAATCCGTATATCAGCGATGACCTAGCATTTTGGGTTCAGTAAAGTCAGTCAAGTATTCATCCGAGAAAAGCAAAGTCAACTCCATATTGATTTTTTTTTAGAAATTTAAGGGAAGATCAATGAAGTGCTGATAAGTGTAGCCTACAACCACACTGAAGAAGTCGAGTAACTAATAAAACGAAATCAAACAGATTGTAACGTTTTTTTTTCTTATTTCTTTCCAATGCAAGTGAAACATAGGGCTCCATAAAGTTTCAGCATTATTGGTGTTGTTTTTTATGGGCCAGGGTTACTAACCTCACACATCCAACCTTTTCTCTTCTCTGGGCTTACTATCCGGCTGGAAAGGTAAGCAGGGTTTATGGAGTGCTTGGGTCGACAGGTGAACTCCGAACCATTAGCGTGGTTGGCAAGCATTCAATCACCGAGTTAAACTAATTGTGAAATACCATTCACGCTAACTTTACCAGATAACAGAACTTACAACGATGCAGACAAATTAATAAGGCTTCAGAATGTTAGTGGTTGTATATGAAGATTATTGAAGAATAAGAAGAGAATAGGACAAAAAAGAGTTTGATCTCCCTCTCCCCCTCTCAGTATTCTGTCCCTATTCTTCATGAAATCTCTCATTAGCACAGTCAGTGTGTTTGTTGAATGTAGGGACATTCTTGTGACATTGATTACTTGATAGGTTACATTTAAAATCTACAGGAAAGCTTTGTGTGCTTATGGGAGTGTATGTGTCTGCCTATGTGGTTACTCAATTCCTTACTGCCCACACTGCAGAAATTGTATTCTTCCTGAAATACCAGATACAGTATTAGTGTTGCATGACTGCAGTGTCCAGAGGAAGTCGGCTTGAGACCAATCATCCATGGCTTGTTTGAGTTGGTTTTTGCAGTTGTGTCCGTAATGAAGATCTAACCATAGGCTACGGAACGCTGTAGCATAATTCGAGATATGGAATTTTCAGTGTCGAGATTTATTAACCCCTATCGTATACAGTGCGGAGAAGCAGCCGTCTGGAGGAAAGACACCTTACTGCTGTTACATCCCTGTTCGCCAGCAGTACGAATTCATGTTTAATTGGACACTAGTCAATAAATAGTGTAATGTGTCTAGTCCTTTGTTTGGTGCGGTTTGCAATATGGCTACCATTCTGGGTGGCTTGTCATAACGCTGAACTTTGAATTGTTCATAATGGGTGGTTGGAAGCAATCGTTACCGTGATGGTGAGCTACCTTGAATGGTGGTGGCTACACTGCAAACTTGACTGATAGAATTTAGTATGCACTAAACAAAGGACTAGACACATTACACTAGTTACTCACTAGCATCTAATCAAAATACTAAATACTGCCCTACAGGAGGTGAGTCGCAAGCCCGAATAGCTCAGTGGAAACGTCTCTGACTGCAGACAGCACTGGGTGACATGGGTTCGAATCTCAGAAGGGACATGAGTTTCTTCAAGGTTGCACGTACGCCTTGCTGACTGGTAAGTGCCAACTAGCACGAAACTTAGGACCAAGGCTTCCTTCTGATTGCCTCCATTCATCTAATATCAAGAATTCACATTTAGAACATGAACATAATATACACCATAATGGTAATTAATTCTACTCTAAGTGCGATTCAAACCACTTTTCTGGTATGGTTGGACCAGCAGGAACATTCGTTCCAGCTAATGTAGCTTTTCGCATCATTGCGATATGCAAGCCTGACAACCACATCAAGTTAGCAGCTATCTATCGATCGGGTAGTCTTTTTTTATTTACAGCTTGATTCCACACCGTATTTTCAGTACAAGTGTGGAATTTTCAGCATGGATATCGGTAGCCCAAATTCAGGCCGACCATAGATATCGGGTGTGCGCCGGCAGGGGATCGAACCCCGGACCATGTGCATGGTCGGCCGTTCCAGTGTGCTCTTTATTATGAAACAGAACGAAATATTAGAAACTATTCTGATTTGCAATAATTAACCATGCAAAGTTTAATTTTTTAATGAAAAAAACTTACCAGTAACAGTTAAACAAACAGGTGTCTTACTACTGCTATTCAGTGTAGCTTTAACCTCTGATTCCGCCTTTGGTCGAATGCCTAGTTGACGATCCTCTTGAAATGTAATTGTTTTATAGTCAGGCGCTTTCACTGGAGCATCCAATATCAGTACACCATCCTGTTAGGAATAGGAAAAATGCAAGAAAAGAAAAAGTAGACAGATAACTAAAGAAACTTTATTGAAACCTGATTTAATACGGTCTTTTGTGTGGGGTGGGGTTTGCTAGCCTCACACCTATCCTTTCCACATTGCAGGCTTTAGGAGTCTGTCAGCCAAGATTCGAAGCTCGAATCACATGGTGACTATTCTTCCAGTGAACCAATGACGCATAGCATAGCCCACATTAACATTTCAACAGTCTACATTTTTGTTGTCTGATAAAACCCATATCAAGGAATTCTCAGAAGCCTGATAATCAGACGATATCAGAAAATCCTCAGATACATTGGTCTATAACAAATTTATCAACCAACGAAAAGGTAGTGGAACGGCCAAAAAAGGTCAAGAAGGGGGGTTTACAGGTCTATTCTAGCAACAACGTTTATTGTAGCGTCATCGTTTTTGCTATGTTCCTATAATGACATAAGTAGTATGAATTGAAGATTTTAACAGGTATTTGTTTGGACGGTTTCAGAGTATTAGATGGTTGGAGGCAATCGGCAGGAAGCCTTGCCCAACCTAGGTTTCGTGCTAGTTGGCACTCATCAGCAAGGCGTATCTGCAACCTTGAAGGAACTGATGTCCCTTCTGAGATTGGAACCCGCGTCACCCAGTGCTGCAGTCAGAGACGTTACCACTGAGCTATTCAGGCTCGCGACTGACCTCCTGTAGGACTGTGTTGGATATTTTTGATTGAACACTAGTTACTGACTAGTGTTCAATCAAAAATACGGTTTCAGAGTTCTTGTTCATCTGTAAGCAGCAAATGTTGCTTCATAGTCACATCTAGCTAGTAGGTCTTAAAGTTAAACACATAGGAAATCGCCTTTTCATGATTTTATGCTTTATTTTTACTCGTATCCCAATAGTGCCAGTTCAGAGTGCCTAATTAGGGGGTACAAATATGAGGATAAAAGCTAACGTGAGACTTTTTTGAGCATATCAAATGCCATAATGCATATTCTAGCTGTGTAGAAACACCAATACAACACCTTTAAAATCACCGAATATAACATCTGATTTGGACTGCAGTATACCTCACATAAGATTAACCACGTAAAAAATTTCCTACCATAAATGGGAGCTTTCATTCTATCCATTCAAGTAGGCTGCAATGAAACAGTGGCAACTTATATACTCACCCAAGGTGCTACCCTTTATCGATTGACTGTATAATTTATGGAAAACTAAATGTTACCACGCTTTCGTTTCCGCCTACTTTAATGTGTAGAACGGAGGCGGTAAACTACAATTTAAATTTCTTCAGACAGTTAGTCTTATGTAATTTCGTATTAGGTGTTTAAAGGAATGCTGTAATTATAATATCAGATATTACGTTTGGCTGGTTTTTAAAGGTATTTTATCGATTTTTTTCCTAGACAGATAGATGGATCATCCTATTATGGCGACTGCTGCTATACTATGCGCGATAACACCTCACGATTGTTTTTACCTCACTAGCTTTACCATCATCACCCAAGGGTTAAATATCAAGCCATTAAAAATAGCCAATAGCAAAGCAAGTGAATAACAGAGTAAGAATGACACTGAAGATAACCAATCACGTCCAAGGCCAACGGTAAAAAATGGTTGTTCCATTGGTGGTTCATCCTAAAAGTGTACTTCATATTGAAGTTAGAGGCCTGAAGAAGTTGTCTAGGAAGACAATTAAACACCTATACCATCAAAAATTAAAAAACTATTTTTTCATCCTCATTTAAGTAATAATTCAGTAGTAAAGAGGCGAAGAAGAAAAACATTAAATTCAAATTGGACATTACTGTTCTGTTTAAGCAATTATCAAAGTCGAATGTAATACGCGCATAAATATGTTGTACATACACAGACGACAGAATACGACTGAATTCAAATGTGATTAATTACCTTTTACGCGTATTTATTTCACAAAAACGAAGAAGTTAAAATGTAGTTTCAACCGACATAATATTCGGGTGAGAAAGTTTGTTTTTTACGTCGGCAAGATAAGGAAATAGAAAACTTTCCATGTGCACATATACTGTCAACCAGTTTTAGTGTTTTTGGATCAATATTGTATAATATATAGTGAAGCTTACACATAGATCTCGGCATATATACACACACGCACACTACTGTCTAACTACTCGTCCAGTAATGAAGAATTTTAAGCGAAGTTAAAGTACAATGTGAACCAAGAGGCAGAGATCGATTGAATGACCTTGAAGTGACCAATCAAAGTAAAGCAGACTGATTTAATTGAAATTACGAGTACACACATGAGCAAAAAGCATTTTCAAGTGAGTAGAGAAACGACGTTTAAAGAGGGACTATTCTTCTACATCAACCAGATTGACATTTTAACCTAAGGTACACGAACAAGATATTCCATTCCAACCAGTTTTCCATGTCATTACTATTCAGTCGCAAAATGGCTGAACAAGATTCTTGGACTAGAGTAGGAGAGAAGCTGTCGAAACACAATCGTCGGAACAAACAAGAATACTCCCTCTAGACGTTGATTCTCTTTTCATTAATGTTCCATTGAAAGAAACCATATGTCTGTTTATGCGGTTTCAAATACACATTCCCTACCTTAACATATTGTGAGAATAAATCCCAGTAACAAGACAGAATTTAAGCATAAGAATTAGGATTAGAATTTGATTTTGTACACTTTCCCTAGATTAAATCTATTCCATGAAATCTTGAACAGTATTCAATAGGAAGAATAAACTCCACATCGTTGTTATATGATAGAATTATTACGCAGGGCGAATTCTGATTGGCTACTTCAAGGTCATTTAAACCTCTGTTCGTATCGATCATCTATCAATTCTTAACCCAGTTCAGTTCATAGTCTTGTAAGTTTTTTTGTCTATTATCAATGATTGATCAGTTGAAGAGTATTTATCCCTACGATAAGATTTACACTTCCTTTCTGGTTATAATTTTAGTCATCTAGATGGAGTGCAGTTAGTTAGAGTTCATTTACCCAGAACAACGTTTTCACGCAGAAGTTAGTGGACCATATTTAATCTATGACGGCTGATGACAGCACATAATTGTCTAGGCTGGAAAAGGTGAAGAGAGGGGTTCGAGCCCGAATCCCATTTACTGCAATTATCTAAAGAAAGGTACTAAACAGTAATTACTTTTGTAATGATGGATAATTGAATATGAAATGGAGCCAGAGGCCTTCGGACTGTTAGCCAGCCCTATACTCTGCAGGGTGAGCAACGAAACTCAAATGCTGATTCAATCATCATCATGGTTCATACTCAGCTGTCATATGAATGAACAACATATGATTCTGCTTACCCCAGCTCATACAGAACTGGACTGCTAAGTCTGGAGGCCACTGTTTAGAATCCTGCAGTGATCGACATTTTTTATTTTAATCTTCAATCATCATCCAACCCTAGAGTATCTCGGTTAATCATCCTTAACTCTGGATATATGAATGCATTAAGACCGTTTTTTCTCTCTTTGTTTAACTTCATCACTTCCTCGAATGACCACAGGCAGATTTCATTTGTCTTCACGCTAGATTGGCTAGCTCGATTCCTATTGGTTGATTCTTATTTTCATTGTTACAGGCAGTATGGAGGTATAGATGCACTACACTTTCCCCATGAAAAAGAAAATGATGAAACCATATGGGAACATGTAAAACACCATAAAAAACCTTTATTTTAACCGTAAACTAATCACTACAAAAAGAAGAACCTGGTCACCGCGATAACACGCGATAACAACTTTGAATCTAACAACATCGTTTTTCATTATTTCATATACGTGATGTTTTTAAACTGAATTGTATCTCATGGGAAATGATTATAGACAAGTTACAAGTGTTTATATTTGTTGAAAAGCACACACACATGTTATAGACATTTATTTTTCCCAACCTTCTCTTCCCCTTAAAAAGTTACCCCACACCCACCCCTACCTCACTACCAAGATAAACACCACTCACCTTGCCAAGCACCCAATGTTAATAAAAATAGTTTACGCTTTACATGATAAAGTCATTTCTAGTCAAGTGAATCATAACAAGAAACGATAAGTATGACTCACTCATTACAGCTAATATTCTAAATTAGTATGTAGTAATTACCAACTTCACATTTTCAACTCCAATGTGAAGTCGGTGCTACTATTAGGATCAGAGACTTGGCGCGTCATAAAGAACACCTCAAACAAACTACAGACCTTCATTAACAGTTGTCTTCGCTCAATACTTCGCTCAAGATCGGATGGCCGGTCAGAAAAGATAAGCAACAGAGATCTCTGGCAATGAGCGAACCAACCAGGAACCGATTGTGAAACAAACAGGCTGGAGGAAATAGAGATGGATTGTCCATACTCTAAGGAAACCATCAGGTGACATCACTAGACAAGCCATTGCTCGATTGGAACCCGAAAGGGAAGCGGCGAGTTGGTCGTCAGTGCAAGAGTGACTTGGAGGAGTTCATGTAAAGAGGAGATGAACACGTGTGGGCAGACTTGGAGCCAGGTGAAGACTCTAGCAGAGAACCGAACGCAATGGAGACGCACGGCTGAAGCCCTATGTTCCTCTAGGAATTAAAGGAAACAATAATAATAATTACCAATTGGTCCGCCTTGTAACCTGAAGGTCCTACTTTCGATCCCTAATGGTGAGTAGATGGGCGCTTACTAATGAAGAGTCCCAAATAAGGACGAAATAGTAGTGTCCAGTATCACCAGTACTGATTTTCAAATAGATGTCTAACTCAGATCAAACAAACCAGAGACCAAACTTGAAATAAATATTTCAGTAAGAAAGAATCAATCCATCGTTAAAAAGGGAAACAAACAAAGCACACGCCCAAGTTAACTACGCCTTTCTGTACAATGAAACAAACATTAAAGTGTATTGATTATCAGTGCATCGTGTCACTTAAACTTAATGATCAATATATTACGCATTCAATCGAATTTGAAATTGGAAGGGAAGT